CAGCGGCGACTTCGTCGACGCTGGGGCTACCGGGGGGTGCGAGTCGGGGAGGCTTTGCACCCGGGGCCCTCCCCTGGCACACCCTTGCACCCCGCCATTGGTCGAGGCCGGTCCCCGAGCCCTCCTGATGATGATCCACGCCCTCTTCGGCGTAGGGTGGCTCCACCACCTGATGTGGTGCGGTGCTTTTGCCCAGTCCCTGGTTGCGGGCATGCTGACGCCACTCGGGCCCGCGGGTGGGGCTCTCACGACGCAATGCGGCATCACCTTGACGATCATTGCGCCGGGACCTTGGCGGGTGCAGTGCCCATGGAGTACTTGGACGCCCATCGCCTGGACCTTTGCTCGGTGTGTGGGCTGTTGGTGGCGCGCCGGTTCAACGGTGTTCATCCCAGATGTCGCCCACGTGCCCGCCAGCAGTTACCTAACCATAGGCCCGCCGGCCTGATGGACGCGGGGCTGCCCTCCCTTGACAGCATCATGGAGCTGGATGTCCCGACTCTCCGGCTTGTCCCTCATGTTGCTCGAAGTGCTTGGGCACAATGCTTGGCCAGAGCCGCCAGCACCGCTGCTGTTTCCAACACAGTGCCAGCTTGGCAGGAACTCCTCATGCTGCCAAAAGCCGTTCTGGTGGCGCCAACCCGTGGCGGTGCCCGCCACCATCAGCAAGCTGCCCTTGCCACGTTGCGCCGCTGTCAGCGATGGCTGGCTGGTGAACGAATGGACTTATGGGAGGAACTTCGGGCTCGGCCCATGGCCACTCGCTCAACCGCTGACAGTACCACTGCCACCCAGCACTCTCGATGCTGTGCTCTGGCGGCTGAGGGGGAGTTATCACGTGCCTGTGCGGCCTTGACTGAGCCCGCCCCGCTACCTCCTTCACAGGCCACCTTCGAGCAGCTGTCCGCCCATCACCCTCAGAGCGCAATGCCTGACGTCAGTCGGCTTGGCCCTGCCCGGCCAGCTGCGGTGCCAGAACTCTCGAGTGAAGCTGTCATTGGTGCCTTGAAGACGTTCCCTCGAGCCTCTGCTCCTGGACCTTCCGGGCTCCGCGCCGACCACATCAAGGAAACATTGGCCACGGCCCACGGGGACGAGGTCACCGCCCACTTGGTTAGCCTATGCCAACTGCTTGCCAAAGGGGAAGCTCCCACAGTTGTGGCGCCTTACTTGGGCGGGGCCCGGCTCCACGCCCTCCCTAAGAAAAACGGCGGCGTGCGGCCCATCGCGGTCGGCGAAACCATTCGGCGCCTGGTTGGCAAAGTCCTCTGTCACGCAACGCGGGCTGATTCCAATCAATATTTCTGGCCTTTGCAGGTTGGAGTCGGCGTCAAACTGGGGGGCGAGGCAGCCGTTCACACCGCTCGGCAATGGGCCGAGCGCAACGCCGGGGTAGCAGACAAAGTGCTTCTCAAAGTGGACTTCCAGAATGCATTCAACAGTGTGGACCGCTTTGCTTTGCTTTCCGAAACCAGGGCGGCTTTCCCGGGGCTGGCCTGCTGGGTGGATTGGTGCTATAGCTCCGCCTCCGTCCTCAGATTTGGCAAGCACACCATTCCGTCAACCCGGGGCATACAACAAGGTGACCCCCTTGGGCCCTTGTTGTTTTCTGCGGCCTTGCAGCCAGCGTTGCGGAAGACTGCACAGTGCCCCGTGGAGCTTTGTTTTTCGTACCTGGATGATGCAGTGCTCGCCGGCCGAGCCGACGCAGTGGCTGCTGCCTTCAGGGTCCTTCAACACGAAGCCGCAGTGGCCGGTCTGCAACTTGAACCTTCCAAGTGCGAGCTGGTGCCTTTGGCACCGCAGGCTGACCTCTCGGCTTTCCCGCCTTCGTTTCAAGTCCGGCGGCCTGGCGTGTTTGACCTCTTGGGCTCCCTGTCGGCGACTTTGATCATTGCAACACTTTCACTCAAACGGAGCGGGTGGAGAAGGCGGCCAAATGCTTGGAAGCTGTGGCTGCGCTGCCGGACCCTCAGGTTGGGCTCCAACTTCTTCGCCATTGCGTTTCCTTCACAAAAATGGTGCACAGCATGCGAACCACTCCTCCGGGGGCTCATGCCTCTGCGCTGGCGGCCTTCGACCAACAACACCGTGGGTGCCTGGAACACTTGGGGTGTTTCCCTGTCTCAGACCGAACTTGGCACCAAGCTACTCTTGGTCTTAAGCAAGGCGGCCTCGGGTTGCGGCAGTGCACTGTCCATGCCCCGGCTGCTTACTTGGCATCCGTGGCCGCCACCCATGAAGCTTGCAGGAGCCTCGATGGTCGGTACACGCCTGATTGGCCTTCTTCTGTGCAGGCGGCGGCCGCGTTTGATGCTGCCGTCCTTGCTTCCGACCGCTTCCATGGAGTTCACCAACCCCGGCAGCAAACCTTGTCGGCGGCCTTGGACAAGGCCCAGCTTGCTCAGCTTCAGGTGTCGGCCGAAGGAGAATCCGAGCGGGCACGCCTTCAACTTCTTCAACAACCGGGCGCCGGGGCGTGGCTGCTGGCCCGGCCTTCGCAAGCCCTTGGGCTTCACCTGGATGCTGCCTTTTTTCGCGTGCTTCTCCGCATGCGGCTCCGTGTTCCCGTTGCAAGCTCTGATGGCTATTGCCCCTTGTGCGACGGGATCGCGGACCGCTTCGGGGATCATGCTCGGGCGTGCCCTTGCGGCGGCGATCGCACGAAGCGCCACAACCGCCTCCGGGCGGTCGTCGCTGCTCGGGCTATGGCCGCTGGACTCAGCCCTGAGGTCGAGAAACAAGGCTTGTTGCCTCAACGGCCGGAGGAGCATGGGGCTAGTGAATCTGGCAGTCGCTGCAACCCGTCACAGCGACGGCCGGCTGATGTTTACATCCCTGCTTGGGGGGCCCATGGGCCAGCAGCTTTTGATCTCGCCGCCACGAGTGGCATGCGAGGCTCAGTGCTTCCCGCCTCCGCTGCGTGTGGTCGGTCTGCTGCCACCAACTACGAAGGGAGAAAGCGAGCCCATCAGAACACGGAGCAGCTCTGCCACGGCCAAGGCCTCCAGTTCGTGCCTCTTGTGGTTGAAGCTTGCTGTGGTGGGTGGGGCCCCACTGCTTCTGCCACTTGGAAAAAACTTGGGGCGTTGCATGGAGCTTGCATCGGGCTGTCGGCGTCCCAGGGCGTTGAGCAGCTGCTTCAAGCCTTGTCTGTGGCCTTGCAGCGAGAAAACGCAAGAGCCGTGCTCCGGCGCTTGCCCCCAGCAGACGACGCCTCCTGCTTCGCAGCGCCCTAGTCGGTTGGCCGTGCCATCGCCCACGTCTTGCACCAGCCAGCGCCTGAGTGAGTGATGCCTTTTTTGTTTAAGCTTGCCTTTCTCGGGCAAACTCTTGTTGCCTTCTGGCGGCTGCTTCCCTTACCTGCACCTTCCCTGCCGAAGGGCAGGAAGGTTTTTCGCAGGCAAGTGGGGCGACAGCCCTTTTGCCACGGCAGTTGGGCACTTTGCATTCCAATCGCGTTGCCCTGCTGGCATCGCTGACTTTGCCTGCTTGGTCGCCCATTTTTCCTTGCCGTTTTTGCCTTACATTGTAGGCTTTGACGCAGCGGAAGGCTTGCTTTTTCACCCCTTAGACAAATTTTGGAGGCTTTGTGTCATCACTTTCTGAAACACAACTTTAATTCATCTACAAGGCCTATTTCAGTTTCAAAAGTAAGGAACCTCCCTGGTGTTTTCAATAGATTGGCTACCCTTGATGCAGTGCCACCAGTATATTCAAGCAAAAATCCACCACACAACCGTATGCTATATCTTGTTTGTAGCCAGGTGGTATCATACCAATGCCCTGCCACGGTGCAGCCTGTCACATTTAAAATTATATTCCCATTGATTGTTCTAATTGATTGTGGAAGAACATGTAATGTTAAATGAACAAAACTTGTAGTTTATTAGTTTGAGCTGCACAGCACAGCAAGTGTCCAAAGAGGAATATATATATATAACCTATCCCATCTATTACGTCTTGCACCTGTGCTACATTTCCAGCAAATAATGCTCTGGAGAGATGATATTCTTCAAAGAAGAACAATTTTCCTATGCAGCATCCCCTTCTTTCAAAACAATCCGTTTTCACTTACAAGCTGGTGATTGCTATGCGCTAGCGCAGAACATTTTAGGAAAAACAATCCCTTTGAAGGTTGTTTTTTTGAAAAGACACTAGCTTTCTAGTTCTTTACAATATGCATTGTATTTAAGTGCAGTAGTACTGTCTGCTTTTTAATGATCAAACTGCTTCCTCAGACAGATACATTTTCCTTATAAAAAAAATGTTTGACTTAAAGCTGCCGTGATTTGTTTACACAACAGAATAATATTGTTGCAGAATATGATGTGCATATTGTTGCAGATTATGAAATGTGTCTACTAAAGAAGTACCATTCTCTTCAAAATTCAGCTCTTATCTATGTTTGAAGGTAACACCTTTTGTTCAAAAGGATAAAAAATGGCACACTTCTTTCGAAAAAAGGCCCAGCTATCTTGGATTTTGCAAGTAGCACCATTTGTTTGAAAAGTCCTTGTCCTTTCCTTTGGACATGCATCCCATTCATTTGAAGGAAAGGCTTCACTCGCCAAAAAGAAAAATATCTTAGTTGTCCTTTATGTTTGAAAGTAACACCAATTTCCGAAAAGAATGTGTGATACTGCTTTTAAAGACGCCCTTTTGCCTTCTATTTGGAAAAGGAACACCAGTGAATGGAAGGACATGTTTCGCTCACAAAATCGCACATCCCCAAAGGCTTCGTCCCTTAACTGAAAAATTGCACATGCCCAAAGAACACTGCGCATGTTTATCATACAAGCATTTTTTAAAGTAATGGTTTGTAAAGGAGACATTTGATAAACACATTGATGCCTGAGAAACACGATGAATCAGATTTGGTTTGGATTGATCTGGATTATATAATCTAGATTAATCCTAAGGATCAAAACATCCAAAAAACAATAAACAATAAACAAAAAACACAATGATTTGGGGACTACATGGATCTAGCCATGTTC